AGCTTTATGCCTTTCCTGGAACTCACTTGGTAGCCCAGGCTGGCCTTGAACTCACAGAGATCCACCTGGCTCTGCCTCCCGAGTGCTGGGATTAAAGGCGTATGCCGCCACCACCGCCCGGCCTCTGTAAAGATCTTTTAATAGCAGGTGACACATAAAGATAAATTCTTATCTGTGTCACAGAAGTGGTACAAGCCACAGCTGTGCAGGAGAGGGGAGGTCTAACTAAGAAAGAGAAAAGAGCCACGTATAAGATAAAAGTCCCAAAGACCAAGAATCTCTGACACTTCCATTTCTTTTACAGATGTTTGTAAACAGGAAGAAACACAGTGGGATGGAAGAGACTTGGGGCTAGAAGGAAAACTCTGTATGGCCAGAGACAGGAGAGCTGGCCACACAGAGCACAGTAAGGACGCCCACTCTCCTGGGGGAAGCCTGTCCTCTTTAGGCAGAACAAACACACCCACACGTGGTGTGAGGGTCACTGTGCTGAGATGGGTGCCTGGTTGAGCTGGAGTTCAAGGTTTTAGTTTTTCCTGGTGTGGAACTTTCCATCTAAGAGTCAACAAGGTCACAGTTGGAGGTGATGGCTGGGTTTCCTGTCTGATGGCAGTGAGCATGCAAGCATGGTGGGCAGTGTTAGCACCCCAAAGCTCTAATCTAAGGCTAGGTCTACTCTGGCCCCATAAATATACTCATACATCCAAGAAACATACTGTGAGTTCATGTGCATGTATGTGTGCACATGCATGTGTACTATCGTATGTGTGTGTATGTGTTATAACCTTATTTGTGTCCCCTCCCTTCAACTCATGAGCAGAAGGCTTAAAATTCAGCGTGACATTTTTGAGACAGGGCATTTAAAGAGCTCATTAAAGTTAAATATGGTCATCAGGGTATGGTGATAATTGTGTTCCCCAAAATATTGTGCACCCTAATAAACTTATCTGGGGTCAGAGAACAGAACAGCCACTAGATATAGAGGCCAGAAAATGGTGACACGCATGCCTTTAATCCTAGCATTCCAGGTGGATCTCTGTGAGTTCAAGGCCACACTGGAAACAGCCAGGCGTGGTAACAAGAGCCTTTAATCCCAGGAAGTGATGGCAGGAAGCAGAAAGATATTTAAGGCATGAGAACAAGGAACTAGAGCTGGTTAAGCTTTTAGGCTTCTGAGCAACAGTTCAGCTGAGATCCATTTGGATGAGGACTCAAAGGCTTCCAGTCTGAGGAAACAGAATCAGCTGAGGAACTGGTGAGGTGAGGCGGCTGTGGCTTGTTCTGCTTCTCTGATCCTCCAGCATTCACCCCAATACCTGGCTGGGTTTGTTTTTATTAATAAGACCCTTTAAGATTCCTGCTACATCAGGCCAGGGCAGCAGTCCAATTGGATTGGAATTTTTAAATAAGAGGAAAAGGCCATGTAAGGATTTTGAAAATGCAAAGAGAGGTCTCAGGACAAAGTGCGTTGCTAACACCTTGATCTTGGAGGTTCAGCCTCCAGAGCTGGGAGAAAATGAGTTTCTGTTGTTTAAGCTGCCAGTGCTGTGGTATGTTATCATGGCAGCCCGAGTGATTTATAGAAAGCAGGAGCGCATCCTCGTCACACTACCTGATGTCATACTCTAGTGTGCACGGCAGGTGGCAGTGGTGTGCTGTGACTGTGTGCCTTTAGCTCATTTGCCAGGCTGCAGTTCTGGTTTAGAGGAAGGGGTCAAACACAGATAAGTCCAGGTTCAGGGGTTTTCCACTGGAAAGAGATGTTTGTATTAATGCAGCTGCTGTAAGGCGAGCTGTGTAGCTCAGTAGGTACTGTGCTCGCTGAGTACCCATGAGACCCTGAGCTTAATTCATAGCGTGGCGCAAACACGGCATGGTGGCACACTGGCAATCCCAGCACTTGGGAGGAGAAGTCAGGGAGATCAGAGGCTGAAAGTCATCCTTGGCTATGTAGCAGGTGTGAAAGAAGCCTGGAACGTTAATTCTCACTCTCAATCTCTCTCCCTCCCTCCCTTCCTCCCCTCATCCCTGTGCTGTGCAGTTTAGCATCCTCTATGTCTTACTGTGTCCTAGAGTCTAACGTGTGTCCTTGCTCCTGGTTCATGGTTCCTTGGGAGTTGATGCCTCTTCCCTCTGACTTTGGCTGGGTACACTCCTGTCTGTGAGCACCGAGCACAGAGCTGTTCAACTGCAGGTCAGCCCCAAGCCTACTTTATTCACCTAGCAGTCAGAAGCCTGACCTCATCTCTACCGTGTGTTCTCACCAAGTTAGGGAACCTGGACTGTCTTCTTAGGGATGGAGACGTCACTGATTTGGCAAGCAGGTGGCTTCAAGCAGACCTGACACTGGCCTTAGTGTTGCACAGACATCAAACCTCTCTCAAATTCTCCAAGGCTTGCTTTCAGAGGACACTTTTTGTTTTTCATAAAAATTAAGGGTCAAAATAATTTTCTTTATGATTTCCCAAAGTTGGACAAAAATTTCAACTCTTGACATAAGATTATTAGAAGTCGGATTTCTGGGCAGGATCTTCAGATAAGCACATGGCAAGAGGCTAAGACGATGGTAATGTGTGAGAAATACCAGTCGACAGTTGGCTGTGTAAACATTCCTGATGGTTGCTGGACATGACCACAAACAAACGTAATTAGAAGTCACCAAAGATCACTGTACCCAAGGAGCCCTGATACACATCTGTAGACTGTCCACTGGGCCTGTTAGCATCTAAGCTCAGTGCCAATGGCCACTGGAAGACAGAGAAAGATTTCCTTAAGTTCTCAGACCAACCTGAGAAACTTGTTCATGAAATGGCTTCTTATACTCTGGATTAATAAAAGCAGGAATGAGGGAGATAACAAAATAGATAAAATACATTACTTTCAGAAGTTTTGGGTAACATTTTACGAGATGCTGTGGCAGAAGATTCATCTGAAGAGGTTGGAAACATCTAATCTCTTTGGATTTACATGATACTGGAAAAACTTTTACTTAGGAAAGAATTCCCTAAGACACATCCTTAGAATTTGCATTCTCTGACATATTAAGAATTTTTATGAAAGGGTTCTTTATACCAATATTTGGGCCTTGTATTATTCATATATTAGTTCCCATAAATCAAAGTTTTAACATCCACAAAACCCACTAGCTGTTCTTAAGCTTATTATAAAACACATTTGGATTTTAGATAGCTCGAAACCAGCTGCTTTACTAGTGACTGTGAACATGGATTTCACAGGGCACTGCTCTTTGAAAATTGTATTTATTTAATTTACCTGTGCATAGAGGTTAGAGAACCTGTGGGTTTGTTCTCTCCTTCCAACCATGTGGGTTCTGGGGATCAACCTTAGGTGATCAGGGTTTTTTTTTTTTTTTTTGTTGGCCTAGGCAGATCATTTTTATTTTTTAAAATGTGTGTGGGTGTTTTACCTTATGATACTATGTACAACATGCATGCAGTGCCAGATGAGGCCAGAAGAGGGAGTCAAATCATTTCGAACTAGAGTTACAAACAGCAGCAGTGTGGGTGCTGGGTATTGATTGAATCTAGGTGCTATGTAAGAGCAGCAAGTGCTCTTAACCACTGAGCCATCTAGTTAGCTCATTAGGCACACTCCCTTTAAGAGCAACTAGTCAGTCCTACATGCTTACCATGCCTCAGCTCACGGTAGTTCTATCATTGTTACTTTCTGTCCTAAGACTACCCTTTTTATCTTCCCTATGGAACAGTTCAGGACAAGCTGTACTCTCCCTAAGGAACTGTGACTATAGAGAAAATCTTTCTGTTTCTCTCTTTGATCCGTATTGTCAGCTCTGCTTACCTAGTACTATGCTAACAAAACTCAATTAGGAAAAATTGCACATACTTCTTTATTAGACCACTCTCAGGGACGTCAGTGTACAAATAAGCACTCTGAATCTTCAGTGTCAAATTTGCTTGTCTTTAGACTTGTAAAATGAGCATGAGCATTTCAGGAATCTCTTTTGCAAAGTGTTCTTCTGGAAAGATGCCGATTACATGGCCTGTTAGGTCCATACATTTAAAAATCCCTGTATCTCTTATCGGCCATGGTCTCTGAATAAGGCTTTTGTGCATATGATGAGTGCTTGCTGCATACCTTCTCTTACACCTCAAACAACCTGTCTACACTCAGACAATTATTGTGTCCCTGCTCTACATTCCTTAAGGGGCATTTCTATGTACTCATTCACTTATAACAGACATCCAGGAACCCATCAGACCCCAGCTTTCCCTTTCCCACAGTAGCCAACCATGTCCTGGCCCACTACTCAAAATGTTTTAGCATGGGTCATATTATATCATATCAATCATCTCATGTTATATCATGTCATGTCATTCCCTAACAGGCCATATCATATCATAACATACCAGATCAGGTCATATCAGATCAGATATCTTTCATATCAGATTATGCCATATCACATCATATCTTAACATGTCATGCCAATACAATGCCATATCAGATCATATCATAGCATTTTATGCCATGCCATCTCAGATCATGGCATACGTATCATTGTCATAGCAACTGATTTCCATTAGGAATTCAATTATTGACAGAGTTTTAAGAACTATTACAAGTTATTGATTGTTGAGATTGGTAGTCCTTGATGAAACTGATTAATTAGCAATACACAATAACTGAACTGTAACAAAGGAAAATATTCAAGCTAACTGCATTTAGAATTCACGTCTGTCTCTAATCTCCCATCTGTAGTCTCTACTAGAATTGTTCTAAGAACAGATTTTTGAAATACTTTTCAATGAAAGGGGAAAAGCATGTTTCCAAAATGAGTGCTGCTCTGTTTCTTTAGTATGCTGATTCTTTTGTGAAGACTAGCTTAGCATGATGGGCACCAAAGGCTTATTATCTGTTCTGAGGGGTGCTGAGGGGTATTGTCTCAGAGCAGGAAGGCCGGGGAGGAAGCACTAAGGGAAGCTTTGAACTTGAAAGACACAGAGCAGAGTTTTAATACTTACAGCTGTCCTCTTCTTCAGTTATACATTTCACAACGTAACAGGCGTAGATGAAGCCCGCCAGCTGAAACAAAATGGACAAGCTTTAGACATCACACAAAAGCCAGAGTGTCTGACCTCCCTGGGGGAGCAGCATTTCAAGGACAAGCAGTTAGATTCCCATGTGGGCTTCCAACATGATCGTCACTGGGATCTCGACTCTACTGTGGATGTTTGACTCCAGCTGTATCCATCTAGTTGATAAATACATTGTTTTGTTTATGTATAATGAATAGTTATATAAATACAACCTGATGAGTCTGTTTTGCGTTTCTTGTAAATAAATAGTTTTAGGGATGACCACTCGGTTATCCAAAATCCATTTTTTGTTGTTGTGATGTCTAAATTGTTGTTAACTTGACACATTTGAGAAGAAGGAACCTCAGTGGCAGGACTGATTCCACCAGATTGTCCTGTGGGCATGTCTTGGGGGGCATTTTCTTGATTGCTAGTTGGTGTAGGAGGACCTGCTATGGGTGGTACCATCCTGAGGCAGGTGGGGCTGGGATGTCAAACCATCCTTAGGCAGGTGGGGCTGGGATGTCAAACCATCCTTAGGCAGGTGGGACTGGGATGTCAAACCATCCTTAGGCAGGTGGGACTGGGATGTCAAACCATCCTTAGGCAGGTGGGACTGGGATGTAAAGCCATCCCTAGGCAGGTGGGACTGGGATGTAAAAAGAAACGCAGTTGAACATGAGCCTGGAAACAAGCCAGTAAGCAGCATCCCTCCATGACTTCTGTTTCAGTTCTTGCTTGAGTTCCTGCCCAGACTTCCGTCACTGATGGACTGCTTCCTTCAAAGTGTAAGCCAAATAAACCCTCTCCTTCTCAAGTTGGTTTTGGTCAGGCCATTTATCACAGCAACAGAAAGCAAACTAGAGCACAATTATAAAAACTAACAATAAAAATGAAAAAAAAGTCACAGTGATTTGAGCATTTACATGGGATTATATTAACCTTTTCTAATCTTTTATTTGCCAAGAGCCATGGGAAGGCTCTATTCTCTATTGTATCTTTGGGACTTGGGTCTGGCCCTAGCTAGTTAATGATTATCTGGGATGTTGTCTAAGTCCCTTAGGTACTGCCTGTAACTCTCTACTTCCCCTACCACATTATGTTTCTACTATATGTGGCCAAGTTTTACTGACTTATCAATGGTTTAATCTCTTATTTCAGGCTTTAAGTACTTGTTGAATTATTTGTAAAGCAATTTTTTCTCAATCACAAACTTTCCTTTTGATTCTTACTTATCACTTCATTACTTTGAAATGAAAATCTAGGTAACAAGTATTGACAAATTCTGAGATTCAGGGCCAGTGCGCTTTTAAACTCCTCATTAAGGTGTCGCTGCTAGATTCTCAATTATTAAGTGTACTCTCCCTGAATGCAGCTAAGGACCTGCATCCTGCTTATCAGTGAGCTTATAATTGTATTCAGCTGCATTCTCTAACTACCAGGGGAGCTCCTTTGATACAAAAGTAAATCCTGTTGCATTCCATTATAAAAGCCTGCTGATTAAAAGAAGTTTAGCTTTTAAATTGGTCACCTCTAAATACAAATGTAAATGTGCTTTCCCCCAATTCATCAGATTCAGAAACTCTGCTATCTTCCAATTTTCCTGCACCTATATATTTCTAATTTAATTCTGTCTTTCCAGTAGCAATTTATAAAATTTACCCACAGTAGAGAGTTTCGTAGTTTCTAATAATCTCCAATGTTTCTAAATCCGTGCATCTCTTAAATGCTACCTAAGCCACCATAGAGACTAACCCTGGGTTGCCAACTGACATTTATGATTAGGCAGCTTTCCACGGTGGAAGCTGTGCGCATTTAAACAGGACCATTCTACAACAAAGACAGCCAACCACTGAGACGATCAAAAAATGTCTCCAGACATTGCCATATGTCCCTTTTAAAGGGCAAAATTGCCCTTGGTTAGAGCCACTATTTTAGACACAGTCCTAGCCTTAAGGAATGTGCCATCTTGCAGAATTTGTCATTTGAAGTAGATTTGAGAAGTAGCCAGGAGGGAAAAAATTGTATAGGTGACAGGCAGTACAGTTGCTTTCGTGCATTGGTTCATTAATCCCTGCAACCACCATTGGATCAACTTACATGTATTTTTGCAGAAGACAAGTAATAAAAGTTGCTTTTCCGGAGTGAGATCCCGAAGCAGGAAAGTTATGTGTACGTTAAGGCAATCATCCATAGTTCTACCTGATGGAAGTTTAGGGACCTCATCCTAGAGCAGCAGACATGGAAATTGTACAGGCAGATCAGGATCTAATCAGCATGGTTCCAGTGTGTATCCAATTCCTCTTGAAGAGGGGCAGCCCTTGAGAAAGCGTAACTTTCTTGCCTGAGTCCTCATTCCTCTTGAAGCGGTGCCCAGCATTTTAGCTGCCTTTCTACCACGCCTACTTAGAAGTCAGTCCCGTTGAAAGCTGTTAGTAGTTTGCAGGAAAACAAAATAGTGTTTTCCTCTCTCCTGTCCCTTAACTCATTTTCCCACTGTGCCCACAGAGAGTGCTAATCCTGCACACTCTTCCCTCCTTACCCAACTTCGCCTGGCACCTAAAGTAATCCACTCATTCTTTAAGACTAGATTAGTATATTAATTCTCCTACGAGATGGCGGGCCATTCCTGGAGCAGATTGTAGGCTGGCATGCTTGCGGCAAATCCCAGAGCCATAGAAAGGCTTTCTGAGAGAATACAGTGGGCAAAAGACAAGTGAGACAACATTATCTAAGAAGTGTTCAGAAAAGAACTGGGAAATAAGGATAATGTTCAGAGAGTAGGAAAGGGATCCAGGGCAGAGGCGTTCTGACCATTTGAAGAGAAGCAATTGGGCACGAAGAAGAGGATAGTAGCTCAGGTTATTGTTACAGATCCGAGTTACTGTAATCAAAATGAAATGGTTGGGGCTGGTGAGATGGCTCAGCAGTTAAGAGCACTGACTGTTCTTGCAGAGGTCCCTGTTTACATTCCCAGCACCCACATGGTGGCTCACAACTGTGGGTAACTCCAGTTCCAGGGGATTAGACACCCTCTTCTGGCCTCCACAGGCACTAGGTATGCATGCTGCACACAAATATACATGAAGGCAAAACACTCATACACAAAAGAATAAATAAATCTCAGTCCCATGCAGGCACCCTGGTTGGGGGTTCAGTCTCTGTGAGCCCCTATAGCCCAGGTTAGTTGGTTCTGTATGTTTTCTTTTGGTCTCCTACAATCTCCTACAATCATTCCTCTTCTTCCACAGGATTTCCCAAGCTCTGCCTAATGTTTGCTTTGGGTCTCTGCATCTGCTTCCATCAGTTGACGGATAAAGCCTCTCTGGTAACAGCTGGGCTAGCAGAATACCATTAGGAATCATTTCATTGACTTTTTTTTTTGGCAGTTGTGTTTGGCTCTATCCTAGGTCTAGGGGTATCCTGCCTCTGGATCTTGGCCCTTGGCCTATTCAGGGTAAGGTCTCCAGCTGGACCAATCGTTAGTTGGTCACTCCCACAATTTCTACACCATCTTTACCCCAGCACATCTTGTAGGTAGGACAAATTGTAGGTCAAAGGGTTTGTGGTTGGGTTGGAGTACCAGACTCTCTACTGGAGGGTTATAGGAGATGGCAGGTTCAGGCTCCATGTCCCCTATTGCTATGAGTCTTAGCTAGGTTCACCCTCATAGATCCCCGGAAATTTCCATTGCTCTAGGTTTCGAATTTATCTTGGAGATGCCCCAGATTCCAGTTGTCTCTCTCAGTAGTCTCTCCCTCCATCCTACCCCCAACCTGATCCTTCCATTTCTGCATATATGTTACAAATGTGTAACTTGGTCTTCTTGTGAGACACCTAACAGTGGGAGCAGGGGCTGTCTCTGATTCTGTTGCCTGCGTTTGGGACCCTTTCCCTCCTACCAGATTGCCTCATCCAGCCTTGATAAAAGAGGGGTTGCCTAGTCTCATTGCAACTTGATATACCATTGCTGCCTGATATCCATAGGAGGGCTGTCTGCCCTGTATCTGAAGAGAAACAGAAGAGGAAGAAAGGATTCGAGGAGGGGGAAGAGGGAGGGAGGGAGGAACTAGGAAAAGAAGAGAGAGGCGAAACTTTGGTTGGGATGTAAAAACAGAAAAAAAAATTGAATAAACAAATAAAAAAGAATAGATAAATGTCCAAAAGGAATTTTTTTTACTTTGTTCCTTCTTTAAATATGAATAGAATAAGCTAAGTGGCGGTGGCACATGCCTTTAACTCCAGCATTCAAGAGGCAGAGGCAGGCAGATCTCTGTGTTTGAGGCTAGCCTTATCTACAGGGAGAGTTCCAAGATAGGCTCCAATGCTACACAGAGAGACACTGTCTCAAAAGGAAAAAAAGAAAAAAGAAAAAGAAAAAATATGGATAAAATAATAATGGAAGATCACGTGATATTGTGCCAGAAAAAGGAATGGTTACTCAGGAGAAAAAAAAGTATTTGAGTCGCTCATTTTTGTCATCTGAAGTACAGCTAAGTCAAAATTATTTTATATTCACTCATCTTGCCATCTTCATGTGTCTTATTATTTGTTCACTTCTAATTCACCTGGTAATAATATTTTTCTCTCCAGAACTAAATCAGATAAAAATTCCTTTTTGTATCCACAGACTCAACTCTGATTGGATGTCCTAGACATTCACTTAGAAGCTAAGAGTTCAAGGAAAGGGAAACTCTTTGGCAAGTATGTAGAAATACTGAATTTTGATAATGTAACACGTAACAACCTCAGTGTTTAAAATGTTATAGTTTGAGCTTATGTTTCTAGAAAGATGAATTTGTCAGAGCAATTCTTATTCTTAGCCCTTCTAACTAAGCACAAGTCAAAACCCTGAGCATCAAATGTGCAGCCAACTTAAGAGCTGAAGAGGTAGGAAGAAGTCAGTAGTACAAGGGACCTTGTTCTCCAAGGAGGGATAAAAGGTAAATTCTTCCACTCAGTCCCTTCCACCCTCTTTCCTTTCTTCCCTCCCCTATTTCTTTTCTT